AGCGCACTCTCATCGCCTCAGCCAATGAACTTATCTGATAACTTCAACCAGCCAGCTGAACCACACAATCTAAGCATTGTGAATCAATATCGATGACGATCTGACAAAACGACGTATGCGCCAAAATTCGGAAATTGGGATTTTCATGTTTACTCATAGAAGAAAACACGCCGCGTCGATTGCCGGTGGTCTCGTAAACGACAGATCAGCCGTTACCAAGATATTCGCAATTAAGTATGTGTAAGCGACAATGCACCAGCCATAACCTCAAAATACTCAGTCAAGTTGGCGCTTATGCAGCACGTGCTCTCAACCTCCAGCCCTGATACAGGTAAGTTATATAACGTTTATCGGAATATTTTGGTTTATATAGGGTATCTAGTGGTTGTTGCAACATCCTAAAGCATTTAGTATGATTCTGTAACTGTAAATAATGATCACAAAGATGTGGCGCTTACGCATTCAGTCTGTTCAAGTACAAACGCGTAAGCGTCATAACGCTATGTAACCTTTATTTTCACTTTGCTTGATACTGATGAAGGTATTTAGTTATATTGAATCAAATAGCATGAATATGAGTAATACTTGAAATAAAGTGATTGCTGGATTTTATAAAAACGGTTTATTTAATTTGCAAATCAACTTTAAAATTTCATTCACATGTGGCGCTTACGCAAGTGTTTTTTTCAGAATGTCTAGCCGCGGAAAACGAATTGTGAGCATGGCGCTGGAAGATGAAACTGATCAAAGTTACCTGGAAGACAATATGATCAACGAGGCATTAAACTTCGACATCATATTTCAAAGCAGCTCAGGAAACATAACTGAAAATACATCCATCGAATATACGACCACCGAACATGAAATCATGACCGAAGGCGTTATCTATCTTGAAGAAATTCCTGACCCTGCTTTTCTGGAATGTGAGCAACTAGAGGTACCAGAGGATCTGACACAGAATAATGAGCGCATTACCACAAAAAAACTTGTACCATATAGTAGCAGCTCATCAGAATCTGGATGTGAATCAGCAATCGATGAATCTCCAAACCAAGATCACCGTGAATCATCAGCATCATCTTCATCTAGCAGTACATCATCTGAGACATGGAAAAGGAAGAAAAGACCAAGTCGTAAGCTGAAAAATAAAAAAAAGAAGGCTCATGGCTTACAGTACAAAACCTACAAAGGAATTACCAAACCCCCCAAAGTACTACTACCAAATCCATGTTTTGGTAAAAAATGCAAAAATAGTTGTAATGATTTCAGTCTTGATGAAAGGCATGCATTATTTGATGCTTTCTGGGCAATGGGTGATGGAAATCTTCAAAAAGCTTATATAAATGGATGCGTCAAGATAGATTATGTTAAACGAAAACGAACTTTGGAGATTACATCAAGAAGAACGTTTACATATGAAGGGGAATACTCAAGTTAAGGTATGTCAACAATTTTTTATAGCTACGCTTGGAATCACGCAAAGAATTATCAGGAATGCAATATTAGGGAAAATACAAGCTATAACCGATGGTAGAGGCAAGCATAATCCTAGACATAGTATTACAGCATCTCAAAAAATGTTTCTTGAACAGTTTATCAAAGGACTACCAGCTGTACCGTCACATTATTGTAGGGGCTCAACTAAAAAGCTTTATCTACCTTCTGATATAAAGACGTTTACTAACTTGTATGAAATGTACTCTCATCAAAATACTGATAAAATGAGCATTTCTAGTTTTAAAAGAATCAAAAAGAAAGAATACAACATAGGAATACATGTGCCAAAAAAAGATAAATGCATTAAATGCGAGCGTTACAGACATTTACCAAGTAACTTAAAGAATGGCAAAGAAGAACTCGACTTTCTAAGACATATTGAAAAAAAAGAAAGTGCGAAAAAATATTTTCTAGAAAAACAGAAAGACAACCATGATTCGGCTAATTTGATTGCTAGCTTTGACCTACAAAAAGTACTGACTACTCCTCATGGCAAAAGTATGTTGATAGGATTTTCGAGGAAATATGCTTGCTATAACTTCACAATTTATGAAAGTGTCACTGCTAATGCGTTTTGTTACTTTTGGGGCGAGAAAGATGGAAGAAGGGGTGCGAATGAAATATGTTCTCATCTTTTTGACTACCTGTTACATTTGGATCAGAAAGAAGAAAAAACAAGCGTGCACTTATTTTGTGACAACTGTCCCGGACAAAATAAAAACAGGTATATGATTTGTATGTTGGCGTACTTCATAAGTATCTCAAAATCTATAAGGAAACTGACAATAACATACTTAGTCTCAGGTCACACGTACATGCCAGTAGATAGTATGCATGCTACTATCGAAAGAAAATCGAAAAATTTGTTTATACAGGCTCCATCAGAATGGCCAACGATACTCCGCAATGCCAGAACTAAACCGAAACCATACAACGTGAAGGTTACCAATTATTCTTCTATAATAGACTGGAAACGCATTACTTCACAAAAAAGACTGAAAGATGCACAAGGGAACGACATAACAATTTCTGACGTTGCCGAGATGATATTTGATAAAGACAATACCTATGTAAAAATAAAAACAACGTATGAGAACCAAGAACACGTTGACCTACTGTTCCCGACAAAGACTGTGAAAAATCTGCCTAAAGCTTATCATTCCGAACTACCGATAAACAAAAAGAAATATGATAACCTAATTGAACTTTGTAAAGCTTTCACAATTGATGTACAATATCATTCTGAGTATTACTCTTTGAAAGGGCATAATAGTGTGGCAGACACGCTGCCTGAAACTGATATCGAAGAATGTAATGATGAAACTGAAGACTGAAATACAAAAGTACGTATTAAGAAAACATGTTTTTTCATTTTAGACTTTTTGTTATGACAGGTGTAGTTATTTTTGTTTTGAGGAGAGTTTTTTATTTATCAAAGTTGATGTTTTAGTTATATTTTACACCAAGGTGGTAAACAATAATTTTTTGTTTTTTTGTTATTACAAAATAAAAATTTTCTTTAAAAAGGATCACCAAATTCTTTTCTACCCATCCAACTCTACCTGCTACAAACAAGTTTCCACGCTATAGTCACAAGTTTTATTAATGCGTATCCGACATCAATGTCTGTCGACAAACTGCAATAAGATGCGTATGTACCGCGTAATCACCGGTATGACCAAGAATTCATATAATGCAAGAGACTTAAGCACCGTATCATTGGACGTAAGTACCAAACGATGCCAGTAAAAGGTCGTAAGCGACATAAAATATGCGTTTTTTGAATTTTGGAGAGGTCTCCAATACTATTTGATATATTAGATCATTTCTATCGCTATTATAGACATAATATATAATCTTTAGCAGGGTATTTAAATGCTTTGAGTCCAAAATAAACGGTTTTCTACCTCTCCTGTAAAATTTTGTGAATGGCGCTTACGTCGTTCTATCAGATCACCATCGATGTGATAACTCCAATCAGCTAACCGAATTGCAAAATGCACTGAACTTCAACACCAATCTGCCAGCCGAATTGCAAAATCAAGACAACACTAACAATTCATGCATCGGAGAGTACAATATGAATTTTGCTCAGTAATTTTTCTTGTCAATTTTTATATTGTATTCTTAGTGCGTTCTGATTATGAAACATGTCGACATGACCTGATTTCAATTTTTGTCATCAGTCCTAGAAAATAAATAAAAAACTTACCTTAAGCATATTGCCAGTCTTTCTCTTGAACTAATAGCCCTCCTCCAAGTAGTGTCCAGTTTGCTAATTTTTTCCTTTATCAAATTGTGTAATTCTTCAAAGCTATCTTGCGACATTTTAAAGTAGGTATAAAACCTATCTTCATGGGATTCGAGTTCCCGGCAGAGTCTATGATATTCGGCAAGTTCATGTCGCTTTTGGTTTACCTCATGCACCCACGTCCTTTTACGCTTTTTTTTATTACTCGTAATTAACGCAAACAGAACCAAAGCCGTTTCCACGTCTGAATCGCTCGACATTTTGTGAACAAATGAGAGAAATTACGTCCAGAACGGGGAAGGTGCTGAGCGCGATGGCAACTGTACCGTCGCGCCTGCTATGTGACCTGCACGCCACGCCGCCGTACCGCCAGCGTCCCGCTACCGTCACGCCACGCCGGCAGTGTGCCCAGACTTTAAGGTTAGCGTTCAGCGGTGTTGTCTGATGCAAGAGGAGGGCGGGCAGGCTATCAACGGTGACCTTGAACACGGTGCAATAGATGGTAGAGAGAGAGCCAACTGCGACCGGTGTTGTAGGCTGATAGGTATACAGGGGAAGTCGAGCATGTGCCTGACTGACTATTTTACTAGTTAAATATTGTTTTTCAGCATCATTCTCAATCAAGATGTTGACTAGAGTAGACGTATCAATTTTTATGCTAACCTTCACATGTGTGTGTATGCCAACAATTTCTCCGAAACAGGCACTATTGAATATCTGAAAAAGTATGAACATATTGATAATAAAACGGATCTCTCTACTCTACTGCTTAACTTTTTTAAGAAAAGTATAATTTACCAGTTGATGGATCGCTTAATAATAGAACAATCGAGTTGATGCGTCGACCACGTTGTCACCGTAGTGATACCGAATCTCGAGTAAGTTCTCCATGACCGAATCATAACCTGCGATGGGTATTTTCCTCAAAAAACACCTGAGGCCCAAAGAGATGTAGAAATGGCTTTTGCCATGTGGCAAAGCGTTTCAAACTTAACATTTACAATGATTACCAACCCCACTCTACATCCTCCTGATATTACTATAACTATGATTAGCAAGGTTCATTATTTCAGAACAAACTGTATGGTAATTATGAATGTCCGGTTGGATTAGATGGAGCTGGTGATGTTTTAGGACATGCATACTCTTCCCACGGTAGCGGTACATGTAAAGAAAGCCAATTAGATATAAATGAACCCTGGTCTTTTTTTGAAATGATTCTAATATACCGCAACATCGTATTAGTTTTCTAATGGTGGTGGCTCATGAAATTGGACATGCTCTCGGTATATCCAACAGTGCTACTCCAGATGCTATCATGTATGAGATGTATCAGCAAAAGATTTGTGCCCTACATGTTGATGATATAAATGCAGTACAATATCTTTATGGAAGGAAAAATAAATATGTTCCAATCCCAAAGTTTACAACGACGCGCCCAACAACAATGACAAAAAGAACAACAACAACAAGAATTATTCCAACAATGATAGCATCTACAACGTATAAGCAGCCAATCATCAAAAATTTGTGCGATATTATTCCAGATTTTATATTTCTAGCCATTGCTCCAGAGTTTCCAAATTACCGTCTATATATTGCTCATGATAAATTTATATGGAAACTAGTCTTGAACGAAATGATTATTCCATCTGAGCCTGAACCTCTTGTCAATTATATTCCTACAGAATTACGTCAATTCACTTTACAACATATTTTTCAAACAACAAACGGTGCTTTGGTTACAATTGTGTCTCCAAACCATTATTTTTCAGCATGATTTCCTACTATTCAATTTATTGAAAATTTTTCAATTAATATACCCGAAAAGGCGCAAATCAATGCTATCTTTCAATCAAATGTTGGGCGGTCTTATACATACCTTTTATAATAATAATATGTCATGTATTCAGTTTTCTAATGATTTTACGAGAGTGTTAAACAGAGGACGAATAAGAGACATATTTCCTGGGATACCTGAAGATATTTCTCTTGCACTTCGATGGATTGATGGCCATATTTACTTTTTTCGTCAAAGTAATTACTATAAATTTAACGAATTTACAAGAAAAGTTGTTGCGGCAGGACCATTTCATTGGAATCTATTTGGAGTACCATGTCCAAACGAGGATTTGTTACATCAACTAAAAACTCTGTTATCTAAGCTTGTATCTGTATATAATTAAATTGCATTGTGAAAGATATGTTTATTTTATTTACGAATAGTCACCTCTCTCCAGCACACATTGGTCCAACCGGCAGAAATATGTTTGTGATACACAAACTTTCAAAGCGGTGGTGGGTAGAATTCTTTTGGACATAAATGAAGTATGTCACGCACACGTCACCCATACTTCACGTACACGACACGCACGTAACGACGTGCGTCACGTCACGCACGTAACGACGTACGTCACGTCACGCACGTAAGAGCCGGTCCACACGGCGCGTTGCGTCAGCGTTGCGTCGACGCAGCGCTGTCCTTGCCAATGCCAATAACCAAGGTGTTCACACGGCGGACAGGAAAGGGAAATTATATGGGACAAGTCAAACGTAGATTTTAAAAATAAAAAATTAAAAACAAAAGCCTGGGAAGAAATATCAAAAGTTTTATTTCCTGATTACGAGAATTTCACAGCTGAACGAAAAAACAAAGTTGGTGAGTTCACAGTACAGATATTTATTGTTTTTTTTATTTAATACTATTATACCTTCTTTAGTTGCCAAGGCAGAGTTCCTCTAGTCATAAAATAGGTCGCAAAATGCTGTCTTATGACATTCGGTGCTGTCTGTTCTTCATCTGCGGGTTGTATTGGGAGAAATTCATCAACACTTATAGCAAATGTATCTCTTTGTCTAAAACCATCTCGATCAGCGACAAAATTGTGTAGTACACAACATGCTTTTATTATGTCAGTAGCGAAGTCATAGGACACGTCTATCGGTCTGTGAAAAATGCGCCATTTGTTTGCCATAATCCCAAAAGCGCATTCGACATATCTTCTGGCCCTGCTTAGACGATAATTGAAAACCTTTTGTTGTAAGTCAAGATTTTTACCACCATATGGACGCATAATATGTTTGCTCAGTCCAAAAGCTTCGTGACCCACAAATACATACGGGGTTGGTATATTGCTACCAGAGAGTGGCTGGGGTTGAGGTAGTGGTAAGTTGTTGTTAATCATTAGCTCGTACAGTTTAGAATTTAGTAATATGGTTGAATCGCATTCTTTTCCGTATGCACCGATGTCGACAAAAACGAATTTGTAATTTGAATCCACAATAGCTAGCAACACAATCGAAAAAAAGGCTTTATAATTATAAAAAAGTGAGCCACTATGTGCAGGATTACACACACGGATGTGTTTGCCGTCGATGGCACCAACACAGTGAGGAAAATTTGCCTTTACATCAAAATCCCTCGCTATTGTTTGGAAACTTTCAATTGTCAGTTCAGGGATGTTGTCTCGAAGAAGATTGGTCCAGATAGCACGACAAACTCTTTGTATCATATATGCAATAGTAGATTTTCCCCGTTTGAATTTCAAATGTAAATCGGTTATTGAATTTCCACTTCCTAGGTATCTGAAACGAAAATAATTATTTTAATATGTATTTATGAGATAGATAGATACCCGAAAAAAAATACTGACATATTCAGACATCGATAACAAACAACTTTCTCTACGTGACCAATTAATTCTGCAATCACGAAAAAAATAACAGCTGTTGCATACATTTTGATTCAGTAGGTATTGATTTTTGTATGTAACAGCTGTTATATTTTCACGATTCCAGAGTTGGTCACATAGTGTTTGTTATCGATATCTGAATATGTCATTAAATTTTATCGAGTAATTCACGATGTATAACTTATTAAATCATGTTTACTATTGGTTTTGCAGGTAATGATTTAATGACGAAATGGAGAAGTGTAAAAGATAATTACTTCAGATATTCAAAAAAATTAAAAGAATCATCAAAATCGGGCTCGGGCGCTACGAAACTGAAAAAGTATCATATATAATCAACTTCTTTTTTTGAGAAGAGTGGAACAAAATGCCACCGAATCTAGCTTAGACTCGCCTAGAGAAATCAACAATGAATCTACGTCTACAAATGATGATATTACCACAGACGACTCTCCGCGCTATGTTCCAGTCGCGCGCAAAAGGGCAATGCAAATGGATGAGTTTGAAAGAGAAGGGCTAAAACTTCTCAAGGAGCCGGATAATCGCCATATGTCCTTTTTCAGAGGTATATTGCCATCAATTCAAGATTTTTCCGACCGACAAACTCTCCGTTTCCAAAGTCAAGTAATACAAATGATAGACGAAATGCGGTATGGACAAACATCATCATATGTGAGTGGCCCATCAACGTCTCACCAACCATTATCATATGGGTATCAAACAAGCAATTTTCAAAGTACATTCAATTCTGATAATAATAATTCAATTACATCTCCAGATCAAACAACTCAAGCAAGTGAAGAAACCGAATACGATTTTTGTAATTTGTAATTACTGGATTAAGTCCCTCTTAAATAATCTGTAAACTTGAGTTGATTACTAATTAAACAAATTACAAAAACTGTTATCTTTTAATTACTTATATAAATTATTACCTTAAAGTAATTCCCAGCATTTCTACTGGTTCCACTGGATTCCTCATATTAGTATAGTTTTTTCGTATGTGTGGTTCTACGGACTTCAATAAACATTCGAAGCTGGATACACTCATTCTAAAAAAAGTTATAAAACTTCTTTTCGTCTAATAGCAGCTCCCGATATTCTAACAAAAAAAACTGTCCATCACTATTTCTTAATGCAATGAAAGGACAGACCCAATACCGTCTTGTGATCTTGCGTCGATTTCGGCGGTGACGCAGTAAGGCTGCTGCCCCATTAGTGCGTTGCGTTGCGCTGCGTCGTCGCAGCGTCAACGCTTGCGTCGTTTTCCATGTATTTTAGATGGTATGCCACATTAGAGCGCTGCGTCGTCGCTCGCGACGTTTCAACGGATTGCGCTGCGATGTCGGAGCTTCAGTGCGACGACGGACAGTTGTGACGGACAGTGTTGCACTGCCAGAGGAGTGAAGGAGACATACGAACACGATATTTTCGTATCTCAGCATGAGTGTGGAGGAGATTGATATAGATTTTCTCATCTCCTTGGTGCAAGAAAGGCCGATCATATGGGATAAAGGCCATGAACATTACAATGATAAATTTCGGAAAGCAAATGAATGGGTTTCAGTGTGTAAACATTTATATGCAGATTACGAAGAATTTGATGTTACAAAAAAGAACAAAATTGGTGAGCTAAGTATATGTTATAGTTATAAGTTAATACGTATTAAATATTGATTTATATCTTCTTCAACTGCCATGGTAAAGTCCCCACGGAACTCATAAAATAATTAGCAAACTGATCTCTGATAAAATTTTCAGCTAAAGATTCTGCATCGATATGGGGTTGCAATTGTGGGAAGTTATTTATTGTCATCTTTTCTTGTTGCCGTAAACCATCGTGTTCTGTGACAAAATTGTGTAAAACGCAGCATGCTTTCACAATATCAGTAGTTAAATCATATGCTGTGTCAAGTGGTCTATGTAAAATACGCCATTTATTTGCCATGATCCCAAAAGCACATTCTACATATCTACGAGCTCTGCTAAGGCGATAATTATAAACTCTTTGTTTCACATTGAGTTTTTGGCCGCCGTATGGACGCATAACATGATTACTCAAACTAAAAGCTTCATCACCGACGAGTACATATGGGATTGGTGGCTCGTTACCATGATCATTTACAAGTGGTTGAGGATCAGGCAATGGTAGTTCATTTCTCGTTAAAATCTGATATAGTTTCGAATTTCTAAAAATAGTCGAATCACTTTCCTTTCCATATGCACCCACGTCGACAAAAACAAATTTATAGTTGGAATCTACAACCGCCAGTAAAACAATTGAAAAAAAATGTTTATAATTATAAAACAGGGACCCACTCTTGACAGGTTTCATTAAACGTATATGCTTCCCATCAATTGCCCCAAAGCAATGAGGAAAGTTAGCTTTACGGTCAAAATCTGATGCAATATTTTGTAGTTTCTCTATGGTGATGTCTTCTATGTACTGTGGCCTGAGATATTTCCATATAGCTTGACAAACTGACGATATAGCTCTAGAGATTGTTGACCTTCCACGTTTAAATTTGAAACGCAAATCCTTCATCGAATTTCCGGTGCCCAAGTACCTGAAATAGAAACAAAAAAATTATCTTGCTTAGACATTATTTTCTTTCCTTGCAGGCAACGAGGTGGTAAAAAAATGGAGAAGTGTAAAAGACAACTTCACTCGATATGTAAAAAAATTAAAAGAAAATAATTCATTTGGATCAGCGGCGAAAAAAATAAAAAAATATCATTATTATAATCAGTTGCTTTTTTTAATGAAAGTTGCCCAAAATATAACTGATAGTAGCCTTGATAAAGAAACAGAACAAAACGAAAACACACCATCTCCACTTCCGACACAAGGAGTGTCATCGCTACCAGGCCCTTCTCGCTATGTGCCTGCAAATCGGAAGAGATCAAACCAAGCAATAGATGATTTCGAGGCGCAAGCGTTAGAGGCGTTGCAAGAAAAAGAAAACCGCCATTTGTCGTTTTTCAAAGGAATTCTGCCTTCTTTAGCTGATTTTACTGAATTACAAACATTAACATTTCAAAGTGGAGTGATCAAAATGATTACCGAAATGAGGTTTGGGGAACAGAGTCAATCAACAACATGGCAGTCACGCAGATTGCCAACTGGGCAGCAGTATATATCAACACCATCGGAGTCAAGTGGATATCAAACTGGATTACAGGTCCAACCGCTACCACCATCGCCATCGGGGTATCAAACAGCTGAATACTCATCGAACACTACATTTAGTAACTTTACCGATGATAGCCAGGAAGAAGAATATAACTTCGCTTTACTCTCTAATAATAATACTTAAGCTTATTTGTGCGAAAAATGCCTCTTAGTTAAAAGTAAAGCATAACTGATTTTCTGATTAATATGTTTTTTAATACTTACCTCAATGTAACACCAATCATTTCAATTGGTTCTATAGGTCTTCTGAACTTGGTATATTGCTTTTTCAAATGTGGTTCCAAGATTTTCACCAAATATTGAAAGCTAGCCACACTCATTCTAAAAAAATCGAAAAACTCTTCCTCTTCCGACAATAATTCATTATACTCCCGCATAAAAAACTGACCGTCACTATTTCTTAATGCAATCAAAGGAGATACCCACATTCTTTTATTATTTCTACGTTTCTTCCGGCGGTGGCGTAATAAAAGCAACAATAGAACACGTTTATTCCGATCCATTTTGGAAACTAACTGAGGTGCGTGGCATCGGTGGAGGTGCCAGCGTCGTCCTATTGCGCTGCGATGTCGTGCGTTGTCACAATGCAGATGGGGCATACAATGCGATGATCCGCTGCGACGACGCAACGCAACGCACTAATGGGGCAGCAGCCTAATAGGAGCAATGCTAGACGTCTTTTCCGATCCATGCTTTCCTATAGACTGACTGCGATATTTTTACAAAATGCTTGCCGCACCTGTGCGTCGTCGCTGCGCCGACGGAACGTTAAGACTGCGTCACAGTAACGCTGTGATGGCGCAGCGCCTGTGTGGCCGGCTATGCGTCAAAATATTTGCGTTGCGACGACGCAACGCAACGCAACGCGCCGTGTGGACCGGCTCTAACGACGACGAACGTCACGTACACGTCACGCACGTAATGACGTACGTCACGTACACGTCACACATACGTCACGCACATGCCACGCACGTAACGACGTACGTCTCGCACACGTTACGCACGTAACGACGTATATCACGCACGTAACGTATGACGTCACACAAACCTACTTCACTCCTATCACATATTTAAAAAAAAGTTCCTATGGAGACAAAAAAAACAATGATAAATATAAATATATATTTTATAAAAAAGGTATATTTGAAGCAGGTTCAATGATACAAATCATTATTTTTTAAAAAACAGATACAATCACGCAAATCATTATTGTATAAGGAAAATAATTACTTTCCTTACACAACAATATAAATATAGATGTGTAGATAGTATTAATTACCGCTTTTTTTTAAATAGAAGCAGTATATATGAAACAGCTAAAATGTGTTACATGAGGCCTGTTCCAACCCTGCAGAGAACTATACCAGAACCATTCCGATTCTGCGCAGTAGGTGGTTGTGATCTCAGTTCTCGTTTGTGATTGGCTAATGGCAATTCAAGAACGGTTCTAGGATGGTTCTCTTTCGAGTTGGAACAGACCCCAAGTAATAGAATACAACACCTTCATAAACATACAATATAAGATAAACAAAACTATGATGTATAACAAACAACAGTGTCTGCAGAAGGGTTGATACAGAGGCTAAAAGAAGCGTGGCGTTCAGCCAATCGAAACTGCTTTTTTGGCAGTCTTAGACATTTTTGAGGAGGAGGGCCACGAATAATAGGTTTTTTGCTCAGTGGCTTGCAAAATATGTGGAAGGGGTGATTCGTACCAGTCATCATTCCAACACTGTCTTTAGAATGGGTTGGTGTCGGAGGAGGTGCATGAATACCAGATTTTTGCTTAGCGGCTTGCAAAATATGCGTTTCGCTTCTGGTTTTGGTGTAGAATTAGATGCAAAAGTACGTAAACGGTTTTCATACACACACAACCAGTTTTTTAGCTTGTCTATGGTTAATACGTGCTTAGGGCGCTTTTTTTACAGGTTATGTACAATGGTACAGCAGAGACCACACACATAATCCTGTCCCCTAGCCTCCCTTGTATATGTAAAAACCCTGCGCTGCTTAATTGTAGGTGTGCGCAGCATCAACAGCTTATGTATATTTCATAGTACTGTATAAAAAAAACATAGAGTTATTAGAAAAGTATAATAGGATGAAAAAATAGGATGGAGACGTTTGCTAGGAATTGCATGAATAAAAAAAGAGAAAAACAGAAATATGCTATATGCGGCATAAAATATGCTTCAACATTTTTCAAATTCACCACTACTACCGAGACTTCCTATTCGACAGTTGTGACAAATAAAAAGTTACTTTTGAATAGTGTTTCCATGGATGGATGGCTTCTTCACAACTACACACAATCTGCTAAAATTGATTCAAGTCCTTATAGAACCGGCTGAAAGTTTGACTGTACATTTTCTCCTTATATATTATATTTAATCGTTTTAGCCACACTTCCGCATCTCTTATCAAATAAAAGTTCTCGCATTTTACTAATTGTTTTAACTTTTCTTATTTACATCATGAATATTGGTGAGTAACAACATGTTTACAATAGAGCTGTTTTTTTAAAAACATTCTTTTTACAGTCAAAGCAATTAGAACAAGAGTGAGGGCAAATCTCACCGGAGGAGAGAGGGTAAATTATTGATAAATTGTGCCAATGATCGAATAATATTTTTCCTTCTAGAATTTGCCTATAATAATGTCGTTGGGGTCGTCACCGTTCCCCCAAGTCACACCACCGGGGTTTGTGGCATTAGGGACGATAGGCCACATGTATATATACATGAGTGTTCAAATCTCATGTATATATGTTTGGAAAATCATTGGTACGTTGTGAATATGAGTGGCTATTTATTTAGATGGATATATATGTTTTTATTTGTTGCAAGAGAATGAAGCCTTGGTGATTTTCATACTTTAACGTAACAGGGTTAGGAGTCTAAAGATAATCTTTAGACCCCAACTATATACGTATATAAAAATACCTTTTAAAGGTGACAAATTTTTTCAAAAAATTTAGTCTTTTTCATTTTTGATAAAGTATGATCGATTGAAAGCAATATTTATCTAAAAAAAATACGCTATAAAACGTGTTGTTGTGTTTTCAGCGCTGTAAGTTTTAGTTTTGTTTCTGCGCTGAACCATCAAGTAAAGTATTTTTATGGATTTTTAATTAACGCGGAGAAAATCACGTGTGTAACGTTATGTGTTATACGTCACGTGTGTGACATTAATGATGTATGTTACATGACGTCACACACACGTGTGCAACATTTGCTTAACACAGGCCGCACGATTGATTTTAACAAGGGCTATTACAGTGTTTGGAAAGGACAGCTGCGAATTCCATTATGAAGAATTTCTAACCCCTTATGCAAACAGATATATTCAAAATCAAATTGAAGAATCAAAAAATGTAAACATTGCGTTGAAAGACAACAATTTAAACAAGTATGAAGTAAAATCAAAAGGAAAGACCTATCATGTTTGTCCAATGGGGTGCACTTGTATACATTTTTCATCAATGCTATTGCCATGCAAGCATATTTTTGCCGTTAGAAGATTGGCAGAAATAAAATTATTTGACAAAAATATATGTAATAAAAGAGGGTCAAAAGAATTTTATTTAAAACATCAAAGGACAACTACAAATGTTGTGAATAAAAGCGACCAAGCATCCTCACAACCTTTTTCTGTAACCCTAGCTACAAATCCTGATTTTCAAACAGTGCAACAGAAAATAAAAAAAGCTCTTTTTTTAACCAATTCTCTAGCAAATTTAGCAAGCTTATCTTCTCGCAGCTGTTTTAATTACAAAATGAAGGTACTAGAAGAAATAGAAAATCTTTGGCGGCAAGGTGGTGAAATAGCAGTAAGTGCCATTCCTACCGAGGACATTACAATCCAGTCAATAGAAAATGTTGATGTAAGCAAGTTGGTTGAGGTACATGATGTGCACATTGAATTTGTAGACTTAGGAAAAGAAGAAGACACTCAAATATGGATAATCAGGGTGTGTTGGTTTTAAACCATTATATGGTAAAACATATTTATATTATTTGTTTTCGTTTTTTAGACAAAAGCAGTTTGGTAGAGAATAGCGACACTACCGTAGAACAACAAATAGAAGAAAATATAGAAAGTAAAGTAAATGGATATAGTGGAGAACCTGAGATTAACAGAGTATTACATTTTGAAAGCATATATGTACTACCGGTATAGTGCTTTCGCAATGACCGAAATCAATAATTATCTTACTAATTTATTATATTTTAGAAAAAAATGAAATTCCAGAGCCTAATAGGAAAAAACAACTTTTAACTGAACAGGGGAGTGACATTATTTGCTAAAATGCCCAAAAAATAAATGGTATATACTTATAGATATTGATATAATACAGACGGTAATTATAATTTGAAATTTGATAAATATACATTTTTAGTTATAAGTAACATCAAGTTGCCACCAAAAATTAAAGTAAAAGGAAGACCGAAAGGCGCTGAACAAACGGTGATTGGACTAAAACGAAGGCGGAGAAAATAGCTTTTATGTTTTATAAAATGTTTATATCTCATAAAATGTTTCGTCGCTTGAGAGCAGAACTATACTATGTCCATTTTTTCGTATTTTCCACTTTTAACATTAAGGTATACATTAGAGGTTGCTGAATTCAATGCAGAAACAGTTTATCTCTATAGTGGAGGGGAGACCAATAAAGTCCCAAATACAAACTAGCCTAACTTTTATTAGCAATTTGATTTCAGTGCAGAACTGTTCTATGATGCAGACAGTGTTCCAAAGTTGCGCTCGTCATTTACTCTGATGGACATAGACTAGTTCTGACCTGTCGGTTTGGAGTTAATATATAGAAATATTGAACATAGAATAGTTCTGATTTGTTTTCTTCGGACTTCGCATAGTATTTCAGTGGACATAGGTTTGTTCTGATTTGGCATTTATAAGTTAGTGTGTTGTTAGTGGAGAGAATTGTATCAAAATGGACATAGATTAGTTCTGACTTGGAATATATAAGTTAGTATCTAGTGCTAGTGGACATAGACTTGTTCTATTGTAGTTTCCTGATTGTCTGTAAAATGAATAACAAAAGATCTGCTAAAATCTTGGAAATGGTCTTGTGTAAAAAAGTGAATGAACATTTGGGTAAGTAAAACAAAATATAAAACCAATCAATTTCTTGTATGTATTTCAAATAATATGTTATTGGTTATTTCATCAACCGAGTGCAATGTATAAATTTGCAATTCCTAAAGAAAGGACAAAGTATCACTTTTCAAAGAAGAGAGCGTTTTGGCTACTTTGTCGCTCTCCTAGAAATAATCTCAAAAATTTTATAGACAATGAAGGTTCGTAATATATCTTTTGATAAACTTCTTAGTCACGCGTTCCCATCTCAACCTATTATTGGAATTATTCAGTGACATCTTTCTGTCAAATTTAAACGTCTCGAATATTTACATTAAAGATTAATTTGTTACGGTTACTTTACAGAGATACCGTTCGTAGAAAAAATCTTATGTGTATTTCGAATGCAAAGCAATGAGTGAATCTCGGCTCTCGTTCAGAGCCGCATTATGCTACTTTGCGCTTTTAATACACAAATAGCTATAGCTGTTCTATAAAATGCTCTTAAATATTTTACAATTACTATTTTGATGTCATAAAAAAAGTTTTCTTATAATATAATGCCTCTACAATTTTTATGAGATTTCAATTTGTATTTTCAGGCGGAAAAGTTGATATTAATGTAAATCAATCGATCACCGATCCAAAGGAAATCAACATTAATCGCACAGATGAATCTACTCCTATGGTTGATTGTCATTTTACGATTGACTCAACCAATTTCGAACATCCAGATATGAATATGAATAAGATATGTTTGACAAGTAAGTAGAATATTTTTGTTTGCGATATAATATTATAATTATGATTTAAATTTTAGTTGATGCACCTGCTACAGTAAGCAGTGATATGGATTGGCAAACCAAGCATGGAAAACAAAGCAAGAAAGATGAGTTAGCTATCGAGATAGACCTACGATACGTGAACTGTCCTGATTTGGAATATCCGCCTTATTTATTACCAGCAGAAACCTCCATTAGCAAAAACGATCATGTAACGTTAGCGTCAGTCAATCAACTGAATGATTTTTTTCGGCCTAGTGTACCTGGTATAGCTGAAGAAAAGTCAAAAAAACATGTACTTGAAGTTCCCATGACCTCAATCAGTCAATTAATTAAGCTTTCTGAACCTAGTACATCTTACGCAGCCAATAAGATAGACAGACTTCCAACTTCACATCTACTTGATGATTTGGAAATAAGTTCTTCAGAATCCGATCCATTTGGTGGAGATGATGATGATAAAGACCCTGATTTCCAGTTATCAGACAATAATAAAAATAAATGCAGAAATCTTATTGGTAACAATAACTTGCCCATTAAGAATTCCAGTTCTGAAGGTTCAGATACAGAAGAAGAGCAACAAAATAATTCAAGAAAACGCATACGAAGGCTGGAGAAGAAATAAAATTAAAAAATTTAGAAATAGTGGAAGGTCTTATATAAATTGGAAAGGTAATCTTGTGAGTGAACGAACAATGAAAAATCCTTGTAATTGTCGATTAAGATGTTCACATAAAATCGACGAAGTAAACAGAATAAAGATCTTTAGTGATTACTGGGGTTTATCAGATCTTAACCGTCAAAGAGATTATATTTCAAAATTTGTGATATGCCAGAATAAAGCGAGACATCGAAAAAGAAAAGTATCAGAGAGAGATGAGGAAGACAGTGAGAATGAGGAATCTAGCAGAAGAAATTTTACATATCTCTTTTATTTTGCTCTGAATAGTTCAAGTTTGTAAGACCTTCTTCCTTAATACGCTGAGCATCAGCGCACAAACGGTCAGAACTGTTTTCAATAAACTTGGTTCTACTGGGGTAGTTACTGAAGACAAAAGAGGAAAGGTTTGTAAAAATTCCATGCTGGACGAATCAGTGAAGCAATCCATTCGCGACCATATTCATTCTTTTGAGACGGTGAGAAGCCATTACTGCAGATTGAACACAAAACGCTTGTTTCTGCCCACAACTTTAAATATCTGTAAAATGTTTCATATGTATGGAGAGAGTACTGTGATGAAAATGGTATTCAACGAAAAGCTTCAGAAAGCATGTACAGAACGGTGTTCAATACTGAATTTAATCTATCATTCTTTCAACCGAAAAAGGATATGTGTGATATGTGTCACAGGTATGAAAATGGTTCTACCGAAGAAAAAAGGGAAGTGGAAGACGAGTATCAGCAACATTTAAGAAATAAGAAACTGGCAAGGGACATCAAAGCAGCCAACAAAGAAAGAGCAAAGCAAAGCACAAAACTTTGCTCAGCAGTTTTTGATTTGCAGCAAGTATTATCGGTGCCAAAAAGTGACGTAAGTTTGGCGTATTATAAGCTTAAGCTATCTACATATAACTTCACCATTTTCAATTTAGCTTCGCAAAATGCCTTCTGCTATATGTGGTATGTATGCATTGCCAAAAGGGGCGCATCTGAAATTGGTAGCTGCCTTCTTCTTTTCATTGAGCACCAAGTTCAGAAAGGCGTTAATGAATTTGCGCTCTTTTCTGATAACTGCGCAGGTCAGAATAGGAATAAATATTTGTTTTCGCTCTACAATTATCTTTCTCAAAAACATAAAATAAAGATACGACACATATTTTTGGAAAAAGGACACACTCAGTCTGAAGGTGACTCGGTACATAGTGTTATCGAGAAGGCCGCTAGGAATGTCCCGATTTACACACCTGAACAATAGTACACCCTTGTCAGGACCTGCAAAAGAAAACAACCTTATATTGTAATTGAGTTGGAACAAGAAGATATCAAAGACTTAAAGACTCTTCAATAAACTGGGTCTGCAACGAACAAAACGAAAAAATTGCGTGGAACAAAATAAAAATAGTTGAAACCAGCTTTGAACATCCAAATATTATTTTGTATAAATACACATATGAAAAATATGATCCATTTCAAAAAATAAATATTTTAAAAAAGGGAAGAAAAACACTTGACGTTGTTGTCTATGATTTACACCTCAAACGGCTCTATCCCAACCTGATCAAATTAACTTAAAAAAATATGACCACTTACAATTTCTTTGTAATAAAAAGGTTATACTGAATCCTTACCATGTATTTTTCAAAAATCTACCATTTGGTGAAAATCAAACATCTAAAGATTCTGACGATGAGTAGTATCTAATATGGTGTAATAATTGATGTGTTAGGTAGTTTTTGGTGGTTGTAAGATTCTGACTCAGTTTAGTTTTTTAGTCATGTTTTTTTGGGTTGTAGGTCAGGATTAGATCAAAATATAATCTTCCTTTTGGCTTCTCAAACATTTATTTAACTTTGTTAATGTTTCGGTCATAATGTTCTTATGAAACATTGAAACATTTCGTTTCATAGTAACCGGACCTAAAATTCAAGAAAACTACTTATTGAATAAAAATAAATAAATAATATGTCAGTTTTTATGTAACAGGATTAGGCATAAGTTTGTTTATTTGAAATAAAATTTATTTTAAAGTACCCATTACTTATTTATTTCAATTAATCAGAACTATACTATGTCACAAAACTCAAAGTCATTTGCTTTCTAACTTGCACATAGAATACTATGATTTGTAGGTAAATATACTATGTCCACTATTTTTGTAAATCACTTGGATTTTGAATTTCGATAAGAACTTTTTAATATATTAGCCTGCCCCAAAGGATATAAAACTATACTTACTTTAAATTCTGAACACAATCCCAAAAATACAGAAAAAACCTTCTCCTGTAAAATTTGCATTTTGTGACTTAGTATACTTCTGCTCTCATGTGACGGTTTATTTGATACTATTATTTTTTTAATAAAAGTTACATTCATTTGCATATTTTTACTTATTCAAATATTATATATAACTTGTATCTATTTTATTTAGCGTGTATTTAACAAACAACACCATGCGTGCACGCTAAAACGTGACGTCATTACTATTATGACGTTTCGCGTGTACCCAATTATTTTCTAAGCGTACAAGTTAGCGTTTACCTAGACATAGCGAAAATTTAACTATTTTATGATTTTTTTAAAATCGTTCATCGTCTCTGCCGCACCCTGTATAAACGATTTATGTGTTAGAAACACAGTAGATACGTGCACTCCTCACAACAAAATGTTCCAATGTCCAAAATGCCAAAGGACCTGCACGGTGAGGTAAAGTTTGTTGAGACACTGTAGAGAGCGGTGCAGTCAAGATGCGGAGCCCGCATCCAAGCGTCCATGTAATGCAATCGCTTCACGCAGCACTGCAGACAAGTGTAGAATGTAAGATTACAAACAATGAAGCCAAATTAAATAACTTATATTTATGAACTTATGATTACAGCTAGCATCACCACGACCACCACAGGGCAAAATACCAGACGGCTGGATCCTTCAACAGCCAACGTTGCAGTACCGCGACCGAGTTGAATGAGTCCAACCACCAGCAACGACTCACAGACGAGTGCGGAAAGCAGAACAATTCGCTGTGATAGTTGCAACTGTGAGGTACCGAGGAGTACACATGCAGCACATCTGAAAAGCATCAAACATAAGGCAACATCTATGGACACCTTTACACAATAGTCAGTTATCAAATAACCGCTAGCATAGACACTTTGAACGTTACTGAATATATGAATAATCTCGAACATGACTCCATAAACATGATTGAAAATGAATTGCATAAGCAAACAACGCTCAAAATAAATATGGAACTTTTTGGTTTATATATCTTACCAGCTAAAAGCCGACGAGAGGTGAAGTCCCACAATACAAACAATGTAATCATAACACAATCATCAAATTTAAAAGCAATCTATCATGATTTGGGAAGTAAAATAGAACAAAAATCTAAAGATTTTGCAGAAAAAGACTCAGGGTGGGTGTTAGAAAAGATTTTATATTTAGAAATTAATAATAATAAATATAATCTTTTGAGAGCAGCATCGTATTTGCCGCTTCCGAAGGAAATTAGGAACAAAAAAGCTGTACTCAATATACGTAATAAGGATGACTACTGCTTTGAATGGTCAATTGTAGCTGGTATGGTAAAACCAAAAGGTCGATCATAACTAACAGCGTCATATCCACATTTTTCGAATGTTCCGGGCTCAAACCTTGCTGGAATGACATTTCCAGTCGCTCTCAAGTCAATATCAGAATTTGAAAGCGTGAATAACATATCAATCAACGTTTATGGATTAAAAAAGGAATTTTGATGGGAAACCTAAATATACAGGTGGTGGGACCGTTACATTACACCGCGCAAAAACAACATACTCATCTGAACTTATTACGTATTGATGATTCAGAAGGAAACCATCATTACTCCTTAATTACCAACTTTTCAAGGCTCGTTTCAAGTCAGTTGTCGCGGAATACGAGAGTAAAGCACTTTTGTGATAGGTGTTTACAATACTTTGCCTCAAAAGAAAAATTAGAAATTCACATGCGAACCTATTGAAAATATATTTCAGTTAAGCTCCCAAAATTGGAAACGAGAGTTGATCGACTTGGAAACACGGTAATGGATAATGTACTAAAATTTTAACAGCATCACAAACAATTAAGGCTACCATTTTGCGTTTATGCCGACTTTGAATGCATTCTAGCTCCGAAAGAAAATGACTCAAGCGATTCAGAGGATCAAATGCTCATTTAATGATTCACTATCCAAATTTGAACTATTCAGGGTAACGTAATGTAACGTATTCCTGTTAACCTTTTCGATATTAACGGGACAATACGTCCCAGGGCTGATATTATTTAGACTAGTGGAAAATGTGATCCCAGATAAGCATGTAAAAACGCCACTTCAGTCTTTTCAACGCCCAAGATCATTTAGCCGGTGTTTGTTTACGAATAAAATAAGATAACCTCAATATTTGTGGTGCATTTACTTGCAATTTTCAAGTGTTTTTCTGATGAATTATCTACTATATATGGTTTGTTATCATGTAAGTACCCCTATAGTAGCACGTCTAATGTTAGCAACATATTTATCGTGTTGGCTGATGCAACATGGTTGTTTTTTTTTTCGTGGGACATTATGTCCCAGCAGGCCGCTTTGTGGGGATTATTTATCCCAGTAGGCGTGAATGTGTTTTTTCTTTTCAGAATGAGCAATAGAAAATTAAGTCAAAAGGAGCTTGAAGCAATTGCTGAAAATTGGGATTGGTCTGACAGCGATTCTGATCCTTATCAGAATAGTGAGGATGAAGATCCAGACTGGGTATGTGAAAGTGAGTCTGCACCTGAAGACGATATCCAGTCTTCAAGTTCTGATCAAAGCGTCATCGAGCCTGATGGTAGCTCAGTTTTTCTTGATAATAATATAACAGATGCAGCAGCCAGTTCTCAAACAGTACCTCCAACTTCAGCTACATCAGACAACATAGTATGGAATTCAGTGCCGCAGAACTATACACCAAGGATTCAACTCCCTACTGCAAGGAGTACCGAAATTCTTCTGTACTCTATAAATAGTCAGTCGACGGAAATTGATATTTTTCTGAAGTTATTTCCAAAAAGCTTATTTATACATATATATATATATATATATATATATATATATATATATATATATATATATATATATATATATATCTCAGTGTACTAATGAAAGGCTAACAAATTTGGGAAAGAAAACTAAGAAAAAAGTTAAGCTAACTGATCGTTCTGAAATTATGATGTTGACTGGTATTATGATTGTAATGGCTTATAACACGCTTCCAAGTTGCTATTGGTCAAAGCATACTTCGATGGGTAATACTGCAATAAAGAATGCAATATCCCGTGACCGTTATAAACTACTAATATACAAATTAAACTTCAATAGTCCAGAGAAACCAACAGATTGCTCGAAGATTTATTATGTGAAGGAGCTCTTGGAGTGTTTCAAGCATACATATCGAAGTGCAAGAGAGGATTCGGTCTATCAGTCTATAGATGAAAGTATGGCGAAATTCAGAGGTAGATCGAGTCTAAAGCAGTATTTGCCATTGAAGCCCATCAAACGTGGAATAAAGTTATGGGTGAGGAGCGACTCTCTTAGCGGTTACGTATATGACCTCGATGTATATAGCGGTAAGCAGGATGGACAAGCAGATGGAACAGTAGGGGAAAGGTTTGTTAGAAAACTGACCAGTTCAATAACGAAATCTGATGTTGCGATCTGTTTCGACCGATTTTTTACATCGGTGACATTGATGAAAACATTACCATATGCTGCAGTAGGAACCTGTATTGGTACGCGATAGAATATACCAAAAAGTCAAGGTAAATTAGCGAAAGGTGAAGCAAAATTTTTATGCACAAATGACGGGAAAACCTTTACTAGATGGCAGGATACCAAAGAAGTATTGGCAATTAGTAACTGTCATGGGGATCAGCGTACATGTGTTGACCGAAAGCAAAAGGACGGCGAAAAATTTGCTGTCGAATGTCCCTAGATAATCTCCTTTTACAACAAGTACATGGGAGGCGTCGATTTGACAGATCATTTAGCTGGCCTATATGAATTTGTTCGCAAGTCTAACAAGTGGTGGAAAAAAGTGTTTTACAAACTATTAATGATAACTGCTGTAAACTCGTTCATTCTTTACAACGACGTTAGACGTAAGAAGACACCATTTTTAGAATTCTTGATAGCCCTAGCAGAAAGCCTCACTGACTAAGGCCGAAAATATAGTGGAGCGTCGAGCTAGGAGTCAAGCGGCGAGTCAAGCAGCGCTTCATTAAATCCGCCGTATAGTTACGTTGACCAGCACATAGTAACGCGGCTAGCAGCGCTTCATGCATCGACTTGAATCTTGACTCGCTGCTCGGGAATTCACCAACGATTTCTTTTGAAGCGTTGCCTGAGTTGACTCCCGAGTTTCATAATTGATAGTGCGTGGTACATAACCTAAAAAATGGACGTAGAATCTTTTATTTTATCAATACGGGCTCGTGAGTCCATTTGGAACCAGCAACTAGCTGACCACCACAATAGATATGTCCTTGACAAGCTGTGGAAGGAGGTGGGACAGGAAAATAACTGTTCAGGTACGTATCTAATCGATTGTTTTATTAAGCATGTTACAAATATAACAGAATCAATTGCCTTTTATTTTGTAAATACTTCATTTTATTTCAGTGCATTATGCATTAACTCATTTCCCCTTAATAACTGCTACAAGTAATAATATAAAAGACACAATTGTATCTAATAGTTTGGAAAATGGATAGGATTTTCTTTAAAATAAATTGTAAAAGTGTCCCGAATATGAAGAGCGTCAGATGACAGGCGACCTCTTTGGCGTGGTCTTCTTGGAACTTGAATGTTCTTTGGTTGATCAGTTTCGACTTCTGTCAGATGTCTCTCAAAGCCCTCCTTATCAATTATGGTGTTTTGTAGAATACAAACAGCCTTAATTAAGTAATCCGCTGGCTCATGACTTGTTTCAATGCATTTTGACAGTAATCGCCATTTCGAGTTGAGAATGCCAAACGTGCATTCAATACTTTTACGAACCCTGGAGTGTCTTTTATTAAAAATGCATTTTTCTACATTTAGATTTTCTGAGCTATAAGGTGTGAGTACATGCGCTGATAAGGGGAATACCTCATCGGCTAGAAAAACAAAAGGCATGTTTACATCAGTTCCAGGCAAACAAGCATTAGCCGGGATATTGATTTTTTTGCTCTTTAACAAGTGGTAAAACTCAGATGGATTGAATGTAGCTCCGTCACTCTGCTTCCCAAATCCTCCAACATCGATGACAAGGAATCTGTATTTGGCATCACATATTGCTAGTAAAACTATCGAATAGTATTTTTTGTAGTTGAAAAACAATGTACCTGAGTGTGGTGGGCACATTATACGCACGTGCTTGCCATCTATGCAGCCTATTCAATTGGGAAAGTTCCATAACTCTTGAAACTCAGAGCTTGCCTGGACGAAGGTTTCTTTTGTTGGAGTAGGCATGTGTATAGGCTGCAATACATCCCACATTATACAAGCTGTTTCTCTTACAATCTTGCTGACTGTTGACGCCCCAACTCTAAAGGCAAATGACATGCTTCTGAATGAAGCTCCTGTTGCAAAGTACCTGGAGAATCAAACCTGAAATTAATATCGAAAAGGCCATGGACTTAAAAAGTTGCTATGATTAATAATTTTACAAGAACTGATTTTATTAAAAAATAGCAATATACAAAAAAATTTCCGCAATTTTTTAAATAAAAAAATGTTTGTAACTCTTAGATAAAATACAGAAAAGGTGATGATTTGTCATTTGTACACTTTTCCTAATATAAATAGGTTTCAGACAATGTGTAACAAAGTTACGGAACATTGTTTAGATCTACAAAATTATGAAACGTAGACTATTAAAATAAAGGCCAAATATCAGACAAAGTAGGAATCATGATGGTTTAGTAGATCTAACAAAGTTTTCATGTTTTTCTTACACATGTAATGATATATTCCGTATACGCATTGTAATACAATTTTCATGTTTTAGTGAAAGATGCACAACAGAAGTGGAAGTCCCTGAGAGACTACTACAGAAAAGAAATTTGTAAAATGCAAGAGGAGCGATCGGGATCCGATGCTGACACCATTTACAAGTCTAATTGGCCCTATTTTATGTTGTTGGATTTTTTAAGAACTCAGTTCAAGACGAGACCTACTTCAGGAAACTTAAAAAAGAAAATCAAATCTAACACATGTATGGACTCAGCAGCTAATACTGAAGGCATTCCTATTGCAGGCGACGAAAATTTTGATTTAGAAAATAGTCAAATTGAGGAATCCTATGTACCTAATCAGCCACCAGACGATACAGAGGTTAATATTGCGCATGGTGATTCAAGTAACACTTCCCGGTCAGCCAGTACTGATAGAAATATAAATGAGGACTTAGTTCATCCCAACATCTTCAAGAAAAGTGCTATAAAAAACGACAATTTGAAAAAGTTAGTCCAAATTGAAGAAAAAAAATTGACTATACTAGAAGAAAAACGAGCAAGTAGGTCTGCAGCTATCGAAAAACCCGATGAAGATATGCAATTTTTTGAAATCCTTCTTCCCCACATAAAACGTATTAGTGGTGTGGATAAATTACGTTTTAGAAATGAAGTTCACAATTTAGTAATACAATATGCGTATCCAACTAACACAAATCAGCATACTGTATCATCTGTTGGCACCAGTCTCCATGCTCAATCATCTGTAAGTCGATCTGTGTATCACTCTGAAACTTCTACGTCGTTACCAATAGAAGAGGAGAGTAGTTGTGTCTTGGATTTGGATTCTTGGAAATCCACTGATAATTATTGCTCCATAAAACAGATGTTTTCACAGATGCCAAAGTGAAGTAAAAAGCTACTTGTAATGTTTGAAAAGTCTAGTAATAAATACTTTTATATAAATTAAACTCGAATGACCAATTATTTTCTCAAACTTTCTGCAACTAAAATGAAACTAGTGTTAAATAACCCTTATTTATCTCAATACAATGTTGCTCATTAAATATTGTAAAGTGGATTAGATGAACCAGCTAATACCTGAATATTTATCCAACGAATATACAAATGTACAGTAGGCATATGTGTTTGGATGTGTGCATGTGCATGAAATATTAACTGTGATATTGGTTTATTTTTGTAGTTGAATTATCTACATCACTGCACAAATTGAGATTACTGACAAATAACAATCCTAAAATTTTTGCTTAATTCATTTGTACTACTTTTTTGCACCAAAATTGATTTTTGGCTTAACCTTTCTCTTATTCCGAACTATACTACACTCTACCATAATCAAAGTTGACTTGGCCCTAATCAAGTTTTTGCATTACTTCAAGTGCTGTAAACTGAAGTTTTGTTTGTTTAAAAATGGTTTCTTACCTTAATGTTATCACTAGCTTTTCTGCAGGTTCTATTGGTTGTTGAACGAAATTAGTGTATTTTGTTGCCATATGAGGACTTAAGAGATTCAGAATGTATTTAAAAGTAGTGTAATCCATTCGAATGTATTGAAAAAAACGGTCTGGATATTTCTTCAGTTGGGGAAATAAGTGGTGGTATTCACCCAATCTGTGTCGTTCCTTATTCACCGGATGTACAGCATAATTCCTAGTTGTGCCTGATAATTGTAACATTTTCAATACACTGTTTTCAAACAAAAACTCGTCTTCACTGTCCGACAACATTTTTGATACTATAGCAGTTTGGCATCGGAGCTCGACGCTCCACTATACGATTGTGAAGCGCTGCTTGCATCTTTGATCAAAAAACGCTCTGCTTGAATCGCCGCTTGACTCCTAGCTCGACGCTCCACTATGTTTTCGGCCCAAGGGAAAAGCAAAGCCGGTGTGAAGAGGCGTTCAACGTCCGGATGACCATCAAAGCGGCAAAAAACGATGCTGAATGTTGGTGACCATATGCCGATTGTCGAGCAGAAACGGAGAAGGTGTATAAGATGTTCACAAAAGAAGGTGGAGAAACGCGCAAGAACTGTTTGCAGAGTATGTAGTGTGCCGCTATGCAATGACTGTTTCACCCCTTTCCATATGTGAAAATAGACAATATTTTTATAAAAACTGTTTATTCTACTTTCGTATGTCTTTTATTTCAGAGCTGGTGGGATATATTGTCCCAACGAAGTCCCATACTAAAAAAAATAACGTGTTGAAAAAATCACATACCTCTAAAAAAACCTTCTACTTTTGAAATATGAAATCACAAATTAAATTACAATCCCCACCAAAAAAATAAAAATACGTCTTGAAATGGTTAAGGGGTGATAGATTAGGTCAAAAGCAACCGATTTTGTCCTATCAGGTCTTATCCAAAAGTTAACCGTTTTTGAGTTATTTGAATTTTAAGTTTTTTATTTTTTATTCCGATTTCAGACGGTTAAAATTGAAATACAAAAAAACTGCATGCTTGATTTTGAGTTTTTTGTTATCGTCGCATAGCAGACATTCCAATAGTTCATAATAAGTAATAAAATGTTGAAAAGCTACAAACGTTTTAAAATTACGCTTTTTAAATGTATCATTTTTTTAATAACTTATTCGATAAAAAATGCAATTTTCTGTAAAAAATCTCCGAGTAATGAAATGTGCAAATTATGTAAATAATATCTCTATCTAACAAGCTTTCATTTGAGGTATTAAGCGTTCAATTATCTGAAGTACATGCAGAGAAACAACAATGACACCCACAGAGGCTGGATTTTTAAGGAATTTGTATTACCTGTTTGAACAAGTCGTTACTGTCCTCAAAGGACTCGCATGCCATGATTGTTTTATGGCATCGGCTCGATGAGGAAGCGAGCGAGAAGAGCTGACTTAATGGAGGAGTGAGAGAGAGCTGTTATTATTCATCATTGTAGTTACGCCATCGCTGCACGCCGAGTGAGAATTAGGTTTAGTGTGGTTTCTTTATATCATGGCAGACGCAGAAGATCCGCCAGGACCTCGCCATAGCGAGCACGGGCAAACTTTTACAAATGAATTCGTTCGCTTACGCTCGCCCAATTTAAATAGCGAACCGAAGAAGACCGAACGATTTCGTTCGTGTTCGGACATGTTCCAGCGCGTGTCGGTAAACTAGCGAATCATCAAAGGATGTTCGCGCTCAATGTAAACGACGTTTCTTGTACTTGCGAACACACGCGAATAAATTCGGCCTACTAAACGTGTACTGTTTAACTACTTTGTGTGTGGTTACGTCTTGCAAAACATGGAATGGACAAATGATAAAACTTTACAACTCATTGAGTTATATAGAACCAAAGAATGTTTGTGGAATCCAAAATCATCATTTTACAAACTTCTAAATAAGAAAAATGATACATGGCAAGGAATAGCGACAGAAATGAATTGCAACACCATAGAAGTGAAAAAGAAAATATGCTCTCTGCTTGCCTCATTTCGAAGAGAGAGAGACAAAAGGAAAGTACAACCAAAACATCAGGAAGTGGAGCTGGATAACAGTACTACTCAACATGGTTTGCATTTAAGTCTCTGGATTTTTTGAGAGATAAATTTACACCAAAATCTATATTAAATACCGAGGAGGTGAGTGAAATAATACGCATATTCAGATTTTAGTAACGTTTTTATGCTTAAATACATATTTATGAGTAATTTGTTTGCCATGAAGATTGTCCGGATGTTACAAAATACTCCATAAACTCATGCCTAACTTTTTCCGCATTTGCTGAAGATTTTCGAGGTATATTTTTTAATGGAATTAATGATGTTGCTTTTTCGTTTTCTCTGCAGTTGCCGTTATTTACCCGCGTATTAGGTTCGATATCAAAACTTCCTGTTGGAGTGTATATATTTCGCGATGTTTTGCTCCTTCTCAAAAAATTGTGTAGGTATACACAACTTAAAACCACCAATACCGCGTTGTCTTCTTTCAAAAGTATCGGTTTTCTGAGAACTCTAAAGACAGAAGAGAGGATGCCAAATGCATTTTCCATGTTTTCTATCCTTCCAGGTAAAATAGATTCTTCCGGTAATTTTAGAGTTCCTGCATACAATTTTTTACAAAAAGATGTATGAGCAAACACTCCTCCGTCTGAGATGCGGCCTTGACAGCCTACATCAGCGAATAAAAAATTGTAATCATAATCCACAAGTGCAAGTAACACAATACTAAAAGTCGACTTATAATTGAAGTAGTCACTTCCACTGTTGGCTGGAGCTTGCAAAATACAGTGTTTTCCGTCAATAGATCCTAAGCAATGCGAAAAATTCCATCGCTTTTCAAAACCTTCAGCAATTTGTAACCATTCCTCTTGATTCTTGGGCATCTAAAAAAAATATTACACTTAGTAAAATTCACAAGCATTTATTCTATTTTTAGATTCAAGAACGAGATGTTACAGTGAATATCAACGCTGACAATGAAAATGTAGAGGAAGCTATTACAACCCATCAGGAACCTAATGCAACATCTATGCCATCCACCAGTGGAGTAAAACAAAATAGAAAGAGAGTCAAAGATAGAAGAATTGACGAAGCCTATGACATAATGAAGCAAACGGTAGCCAAGAAGGCAAATAAAAATAAAAATTATATATTTGGCGAATATGTGGCGACAAAACTGGACACTTATTCAGATCGTTGCAGAAACATTGTTCAACATTTGATAAACAATATTCTGTTTGACGCGGATATGGGACAGTTCGATATAGCCCCCAGTGTATCATCTCAAACACTGAATTCGCAGACGCCATACATGTCACATTCATATTCTCATCAGTCAAGCAATACCCAGTCACACCAGCCATTTATTCAAAATTATCTGTCGTCCGTTTCAACGCCACTAACAGGATCATCTGCATCTTTCACTACTACACCACTTGTTTCACCTACTTCAGATAACGTATCATATATATCATCAAATCATACATCACCGGTTCATTATTTTCATTCATGCTCTCAGCCAGCAACAGCAGAAACAGAAAAAGAGCAAACAGATGAGAGCGAACTTGCTACTTTTGTTTTAAATTTTAAACCCTAAGTAAAATGACAATAAAGAATCTTTTGAGTAATTACCAGTGTTTTTTTACACATCAGGTTTTTAATTATTACCGGTACACAATATTGTAAACAATCAATCATGGCTTTGCACACTTCTGGAATAATGTGACAAATTGATGATGTAGAAATCTTGAACAAATACTTTAAACTCGAATAGCAATCTCCTGTTGCCAAAAAACGGAGCGTTAGTAATAACTTCTCTTTTGGTAATATTGCCTTTTTGAATGTAGTGTCCGTTTTTGAAATGATTGGACCAATCAAACTTAGCAAATATTCCAAATCAGTTGAAGACATTCTGCAAAAGTTATTCAATTGTCCCAGATTATCGCTTGTAAGGTCTGTAAACATTGTTATTCCTCCTGCAGTGTCTCTTTTTTCAGTAAATTTGAAGACCATTCCCTCTTTTTTCTTTTTTTCTTCGTCAAACCTGCCATAACAATAAAACTAGCACTAATAATTATATATCGTCAACAGAGTCCGACGTGGAGTTCGAAAACAGAACAATGGAACATCCGCGAATGCAAATATTCGTACATATAAAAATGCCTCAAACAGGTAGCGAGCTAACGAACTAACGAACAAGACCAAATTCGTTCCTTCGTTCGTTCGCTCGTGTTCGCTCTAATTTAAATGCACCTTTACTGTGTTTGACTCTGTGTATCGGCGCATCCGCCAAACCGGACGTGTTCAAAGGTGATGCTGGTCGACCCCGAGTCTATCCTCCTGAAGATGAAGACGAAATCCTTCGTGTGTTTCAGGAAGACCCTACTACGTCTACGCGGATTGTGGCTGCTCAGTTGGGTATATCACAATACAAAGTATGGTTTACTGTGCATACTGCAAGATTATACCCTTATCACTACACGCCTGTGCATGTGATTGAAGAGGGCGATCCTGCAAGACGATTAGATTTCTGCAGGTACATGTTACATGCAGATACAGAAGATCCAGACTATTTTAAGAAAATTCAGTGGACCGATGAATCAAAGTTTGATAAGGACGGGATCACTAACTACCATAATGCTCATTACTGGGCTGATAAAGAAAAATAAGACCGACGGGGTCTCAGAGCCGGTTTTCAGTCAATGTGTGGATGGGCATCATTGATGGATATTTAATTGGACCTCATTTTCTGCCCGCCAATTTGAATCGAGAAATGTATGAAGAGTTCTTGAAAAATCACTTGTTTCTATTAATGGAAGACGTCCCATTGGCGACGAGACAAAATATGCGGTTCCAGCACGACGGCTGACCCGCACACTACAGTAGATTAGTACGGGCGTATTTAGACTCTAAATTTCCAAATCAATGGATTGGCAGAGGCCCATTTACATTTCCCAAGAAGGAAAACAAAAAACCGTATTTTTGCAAATGAGATTTGTCGATTCATATCAGTTTCTTTCGTCAAAATTAGAAACATTGGCATCCTTTTTAAGCGCAGAGCAATGTCGGACAGTACGAAAAGTGTTTCCCGAGGACGAAAGATTCTCCTACATGAGATGTAAAGGTATATTTCCCTATACATATCTTAAAACATTTGATAAATACAATGAAACATGTTTACCATCCCAACAAGTCTTTTATGACGAAATATGAGCGGGCACATCATGTTTGGAAAGTACTGGGGTGTAAACATTTGGGGGAATACTCAGACTTTTACTTGACTTCGGATGTTCTTCTTTTAACAGATATCTTTGAAAATTTTAGAGATTTGTGTTTAAAAACGTACAAGCTTGATCCAGCTCACTATTTTACAGCCCCTGGTTTGTGTTAGGATGCAATGCCACGATATACTAAAGTAGAGTTAGAGCTGCTTACAGATGTGGATATGGTACATTTTTTTAAAAAGGGGATTTGCGGAGGAGTCAGCACATGTACCTCACGGTCGGGCGAACAATAAATGGTTACCTCATTACGATCCATCAAAGGCATCATCGTACTCAATGTACCTTGATGCGCGAATTTGTATGGATATACTATGCAGCAGTACCTACTGGCGGGTCATTTTGCTTGGTTAACGCAACATGAGATCGATAGGATTCAAGAAACAATTACACAAATTTCAGATACATCGGATATTGGATATACATTAGAAGTTGATTTAACAATACCGAATGAGCTTCATGATTATTTCGATGATTTACCATTTTGTCCAGAAAATTTTAAACCACCCAACAGTCAAAGCTCAAAATTAATTCCACGCAGAATATTTTCTGAAAGCTTAGTAGCTATTCAAATGGAAAAAACAATGATTGATTAGTGCCGTCCCACATATGTTGGATTTTGTATTTTAGACGTCTCAAAAACGGTAATATACCGACTGTCAGGGTAACGTCGACACCAATCGGGTTTCTTCGACATGTCACGTGCAAGTGTTCGTTTTCTCGGAATGTGTATACGCGTCGTACTCGCTGAGGAATTTAACGGATTAGAACAGGTTAAGACTGTCGAGAGGTTGATAATATTTAGGCTCAAAATGGTCAGAAATTACCTTAAAAGGTGGGTGGTAGGCGATATCGTCAATTCAATAACAAATATGCAGGATGCAATTGCAGCAGTACGGAGTGGTATGAGTAGGAAAGCAGCTAGTATACAATACAAGGTTCCAAGGACAACCCCTTTGGAGAGAATTAGCGGAAAACATACAAGCAAAGTTGGCCATCCGACGGTATTGACAAAAGAAAAGGAGAAGTTTAATTAGTGAAACACTCGGAACTGTTAGTGAGTGGGGATATCCTATGACCAGTAGTGATAATGCATCCGTTATTTTTGGTTTTGTCAACAAACAGGGGCGTAACGTACAAATATGGAAAGATAACAGACCAGGATATGACTTTGTGAGAAGCTTCGCAATTAGAAACAATTTACGCGTAAGGCTAGCCACAAATATAAAACTAAATTTTTTTTATATTCCAACTACCACGAAGGCCTAAGGCCTAAGCACCCATTGGATACCGTGGGGCTATGGGGGATACATAGGAAAGGGGGGACGCCACACGGACTCTGGCGAGGGAACACGTGTGCATGCAACATGCACACATTCTGGCTCCGCCTACGAGAACCGCCGGGTGATACCTCCGCGTTCGACAGTCAGAGACCATCTACCACCTACGGACAATCACAACATCCATAGCCAAGAGAAAAATTTCTCCTGGGACGGGACTCGAATCCGCACAGCGCACGGCGACTAATCAGGAGACCGAAGAGTCTACTACTGCGGCCACCGCTGCTGCCTAGACCACCGCTGCTGCCGGGCATCTGTGGGCCAAAGTGCAATTCGTGAGTTTTTTACAAATATCGAACCTCATTTAGTGAATGCTCCTCGTTGAAATACCTACAATTATGACGAAACAAATGTGACCGACGACCCGGGCTCTAAAAGGATTCTTGTTCCAAGGGACATGAAAAGAGTGGAGAGAATCAAGGAACATTCGAGGACTTCTGTAAGTATTATGATATGCGGAACGGCCGATGGCGAACTTCTACCACCAATGGTAGTGTACAAATCCCAGAATCTGTATAACAATTGGACGCAAGGTGGGCCAGCTGGAACGGTGTATAGTCATAGCAAAAGTGGTTGGTTCGACAAGAACCTATTCGAACAGTGGTCTTTTTATATTTTGCTTCCACATATCAAGGAACATAGTCAAAAGGATGAACAAACAATTGTAATTGGTGATATCTTGCTTCGTATTTCTCCCCACTTATACAGACTGCCAAGAAAAATAATATCTACATGACTCCGCTCCCACCAAATTCAACCCATCTCTTACAACCGCTGGATGTCATTTTCTTTGCCCCAATGAAAAGAAAATGGAGGACAGTCCTGGACAATTGGAGAAAGGAATCCAGACGAAAGGGGACAATTCCGAAAGAGCAGTTCCCAGCTCTTCTAAATAAACTGTGGGGTTCTGTGTCAACGACAGCTAAGGCAAATTTGATATCAGGTTTTCGAACAACCGGAATTTTTCCATTTAGCCCTGACACCATTTTATCCAAACATAATGATTTTCACGATTCATCTTCCACATCAAGGATGCTCGATGAGAGTCTATTAGATTTTCTCAGGGGATCTCGAGGAGCTCAAACAGATGAATCCGCCTCGCGGAAAAGAGGAAAAAAGCTAAAGACAAGGCCCGGAGAGCGAATGTGCTTGCCACCTGTTGCGAACCTTCCGGTTATTTCTTACATGGTGTGATTTGTATGGATTATTTGATTAATAGTTCCCACATTAATTGAAAAAAATGGATGTGCTAGTGGAGTGGAGAAACGGAAAAAGAAATATAGTTGCATCAAATGAGTTGTTGGCAGTAAAAAAAGGACAGACACTTAAAAAAGATGTTGGTGTTAAGATGTACTACTCAAAGAGATGGTACTATGGTAAAATTATTGATCTATGACAAGTAGATGGTATTGAAACGGAAAATCAACCACATGTAGTAGAGAACAAAAAGAAAAAAAATAACAAACGGTAAGTTTTTAAAACATTTCAGTACACCTAGAAATTATTTTAAAAATGAAATGTTAACTTCTAGATACAGCAGACCTGATTGCAATGTCGATGCCACTGAGCAAACTGTATCTTCAGATAAAAATTCAGATTCTGATATTCCGCTAGCACGACTTTTGAAAAAGAGCGAAACACTTGTTGAAAGAAGCGAAGAAACTGAGAAAGGAGCTCCGAATTTGAAAAACAAAGGCAAGGATTTTTGCTGTCTATTTCCTTAAACTATATTTAAAATAGTTATCTTAAGGTGCGTTTCCATGCTTGCCAAAGCTTGACAAGCGTCCACAAACACAAGCGTGTAAAGAGGGTGTTTGACTTGGCTTGCGTGAGCTTGTGGACGCTTGTATCCGATCCGGTCTAGTGTCGGTTTTTGGACACAGATCAAAGGGCGCTTGCGGCAAGCGCTTGCGACGCGTTCACACGTTGGCGCACGCTTAGTAGCCGTTGTGATCTCGCGACGAACGCACGTCTAGTTCTGACTTCAAAATGAGTGGCTGGTCAAACGAAGAGAGTTTATCGTTTTTGGAATATTACCAGACCGAAACGTGTATCTGGAACCCCAAAGATGTTAACCACAAAGATAAAAAGAAAGTTGCAGATGCTTGGAGTCGTCTTGCCCAGTTAATGGGAAAGCCAGTAAAGGAATTAAAATCCAAAAAAGAAATATTGATGACAACTTTCCGAAAGCATTTAAAAAAAAAACAGGATTTTACTCTTTCTGGCGCAGGTATGTACAGTGTTTATTATTTTAATTAAGTAAGCAAGGTGTATCTTTGCTCTTATTACTTGTATTATTAAAAGTAGTTTTAAAATTATCTTTTGTTTTAGGTGGTGAAGACATATATAAACCAACTTGGTTTGCTTACGAAATGATGGAGTCTTTTTTACTACCAGTATATACTTGCATTGATGGAATAAATACCGAAACTGTAAGTAAAAAGCAACGTTTATTTTAAATCAATGAAACCACATTTATTTATAATAATTTTATTTTTAATTTTCATGAACTTAGCAATTTCTACTAAAATACGAAGTAAATTCGTCTCTGATTTGTCTGGCATTCAGCGGAGATCTTCGTGGTACATAAGGCAAATTTTGCAATGCATTATATCCATTGATTTCATTTCGCCACGAACCAGGGGTCACCATATTTCCACTACTATTATATACGTCAAACGATCCATGAGGAGTATATCGATTTGAGGAACTTTTACTTGTTCTCAAATAGTTATGTAGCAATACACAAGTCATCGTAAGTTTCGACAAAGTTTGTGGATCTAAGTCCATAGGGCGTCTAAAAATTCTGAACACTGAAGTTAAAATTCCAAACGTAAATATTTTCTACTACAACTCGGGAGCGGGATAAGTTTTGGTTAAATAATCTTTTTGGTGAACCGACGTCATGGTTTCCAGGGTAGGGCTTCATTACATGTTTACTCAATGCAAAAGCACCGTCAGCTAAAAATATGTAAGGCACATTTATATTCGATCCTGGAAGTGGACATGGCGAGGGAAAATTTATCTCGTTATTAGAGATTTTTTGCCATAATAACGAATTGTTAAAAACTCCACCGTCACTTATTCTTCCTTGACTCCCTATGTCTGCGAATATAAATTTATGTTGGCTATCCACTAATGCCAAAAGGACAATGCTAAAAGTTTTCTTGTAATTGAAATACTCTATGACTATATGCTTGCCATCCAATGAACCTATGGAATGTGGAAATTTGGTCCTGAATCCTTTTTCTATTTTAAGCCATTCTTCTGCTGTGGTGGGCATCTGTAAAAAAAAAGAAAAGAAATGAACTGTAAATAACAATATGTTTTAATAATTGTTATTTTTTGCAGCAATCACAACAAAATGTTGTACATGAAGAAAGGGAAGAGACAGAGGATGACCATACCGATACAATCACTACACCATCCCGACCATCGACATCTACTAATAAACGTCGTCGCCCTATTACTGAAACGGCTGAAAAGCAAATGGCCACAGCATTCGAACAACTTACAAATGATATAAGACAAAGGCGAAGTGAATGTAGACCAGCTCACGAAGACGATGATTGCGATTTATACGCAAAGCTATTAGCTATAAAGCTACGCGAACTGCCAAATGAACGAAAACTTATTATGTACCAAATAGACGGGTTGTTTATAAGCAGAATCAACCAAAGGTCATACGAACGTCATACAACATCCCCTCAATATTATTCTAGACCTTCATCAATGGCCACCATATATGAACAACATACGCCATCTACTCAATTCCAAGACATTCCGAGTCGGCCAACATCAGTTAATACCATTTATTCTGAACCTATCCCAAACACTCAAAGATTTTTTCCATCCACGCAAACCTCTCATTCAGAGCCCTTCTCAAACATAATAATTGAACATCGATCACGTCCAACTGCTCGATCTCCTTCAGAAGCACCCTCGCAACTTATTAATATCATATCGGACCAAATCATCCAGCCTGCGCCGCCGGAACGCAACATTATAAACGAGGCTTTACTGAAAACTTTCGAAGATTTTCAGTCATCGGGATAGTTCTTATTTGAAGCTACTTAATAATTAAATAATAAGTAAATACCAGTCAACTAATTACATGCAACAGATTTCTTATTAAAATCTGAATAAATAAATAATAACAGTTGTTTTATTTTACCACTTACCTTAACTTGATCCTTTAAAACTTCATTAAGAGCTTGACAAACTTCACGAATAATTTTTGACATCATAGGGATAGATACTTTAAACAAGTAGTGTAGGCTTTTGTAAGAATCACCAGATGCTAAAAATCGTAGCGTTATGGCAAGACGAAATTTAGCTGGTATAGCTTCTCTGAAGTCGGTATCATGCTTGGAAATCATTGGTAAAATTTTCTGCAGCAAAAACTCAAAATCAGCATAACTCATTCGGCAGAAATTATCGAACTATCCAGAAGTTCATTAAATTTATCTTCTATAAATTGGCTGTAACAAAATAAAGCAATTATTATGTAAATTTATTTTTTATTTATATACTTTATTGCACTTTAACCCTTTGACGCCTACTGGTTTCACGACGAAACCACCTGAATAAGAATTAATTTCTAATCGCCGAATGGTCTTGGTGCGTAACCTCATACAGTCACGTGCCCTTGAGACTCCATCTGATAGGCTTTGACAGTTGCGTCGGTTGTATTTGGTTTCCTAACGTAATGATAACGTTCAGTGTGCGTTGTTGCAGCAAACAGGTGGTTGATCAAAATAAATAGGGGATTTTTCGCTGTTAGATAAACAATGGGAGGTAAGTAAATAGATGATTTATATGATATGATGTTGATCATGATTGTAAAATATTTGGGGATTGAATTTGACCAAATTTAGCTCATATTTTTATACAAAAATACCTTCGGTTACGTTATGAAACCAGTAGGCATGCCGTGTTTTTTTTTCAGATCAGAACAAGAAATATTATTTTGCCGACTTAGAAAAGATGAGTTCAGATGAACACATGAATGAAGATGTGCAGGATATTGCTTGTCCTCGTTTAGTTTTGGAGTATAATAAGCACATGGGTTATGTAGATAAACTAGACATGTTGAAGTCAATTTATGAATTAGATCGAAAATCTAAAAAGTGGTGGCTGCGCATTTTTTGGTATTTACTTGACATATCCCTAGTGAATGCATACATAATTTTCAAGAACCGAAATACTACGACTAAGTCCGGCAAATGTATGACATTGAAGCATTTCAAGCTAGCAGTATGCTTGCGACTTATTGGAGCAGACGAAAATATTCCAAAGAAAGGGCGGATATCATCAGTGCAACAAAATACCTTCAAAGCCAATGTGCCTCAGGAAATTCGATATGATTCTTGTGCACACATGCCAATCCATGGAAGTTCAAGAAGATGTGCTTATTGCAGCTCTACATCATCACCACACCGGACGAAATGGATTTGTTCCAGGTAAAGAAAGTAATGCTTCATCTTCTTTTTAGTTTTAGCAAAAACTTTTTTTTTCAGATGCAACGTTGGATTATGCCTCAACGCAAATAAAAATTGTTTCCTTCCGTATCACAGACGATAAATGGAAAATATCGGATTTGTCTTCTTTTATTACTTGAAATAAAATTTTGTTTAAAAAAATCATTAGTTCCTTTTACTACCTAGTGGTTTCATAATGAAACCATATTCTAAAGCATTTCAGGATTAAAAAAAATAAATAAAATGTGTAAAGTTATAACATATTGTTCACATTTACCCATATTAAAAGAAAAAGATTCGCAAATTCGAAAAAAAATTAAATCCGGCGTCAAAGGGTTAATATACCTAGCTACATAATAATTATATATTGTGGGATAACATAATAGACATAGGTAAAAAGGTTGCCTGGCAGAAATTGCTTTTAGCAATAAGGCCGCCCATTGGACTTTTCATTGTTAATTATATGTATATCATGTACTTTGCAAATCCTAATAACTACAGTGTACAATAAAGTATAAAATAAATAAATAAACTGAAAAACTGATTAGTTACCTGGTACGATTTCTATGAATCTTTATCATCCATCATCTTCGTGGTCGTCTGGCTTTCCTTGATTTTGTTTTAATTTGCTTATATTTGAAATAAAAGTAGGTTAAACCAAACGTAATAGCCGATACAAGTTCGGTGTCCGCCATGCTTGGATGTACGTAGCACACTGACGCATTCACAATCGTGTAAACGACTTCCAAATGCCAAGCGAGGTTTGTGGACGCTTGTGCCTTGTGGTTGCTTGTCAAGCCTTGGCAAGCATGGAAACGCACCATTATGATTCCAGGATTACAAATTGACCATAGCAATGGTAATAATGTTATAAGGTCGCGCGACGACTTAGATTATCTGTCAGATGACCCTCTTTTGATTTGTCAAAACCGTAAAATAATCAGTGAAAGCACAAATAATGAGACTGTCACAAAAAAAGGAAGGGTAAAAATTCTAGAGAATGTGAAAATACCAATTGTTCAGACGAGATATTCAGTAGTTGTTATAAGTGTGTGCACTTTATGGAAGATCCGCTGGATTGCCTGTCCCATACCTTCGAAAGTATAGAAAATTTACATTTACAAGATGTTTGTCAAGATGTTGCGCCCCGAGTTTTAACCAGTGGAAGTTACTTATGTGTTAAAAGGAAACCTGAAGACTATTTAGTTGATGGGTCAAACAAAGAATCGGAAGAAAGACATTTGAAGAAGGATTCGTGTAGAGCGACGAAACAAAAGAGGTATTCTGGGCAGGCCTACATCATACCAAAGTCGATGAACTTAGTACCCCCTAAACAAGTTGGTGAAAGATGTAATAACAAGTACTATACGCTTCACAACAAAAAATGTGTCAACTTTACTGAAAACCAAAGAGAAATTATAATGAAAGAGTTTTACTCATTGGGAAAATTAGAACTGCAAAGAGAATTTATCTGCCACCATGTAGTTAAGGAGGAATCCAAGGTGAAAAAGGGAGGATCCAGAAGGCAACTTACATACCGTTATTTTCTTACTTTAAATGGCGTTCTCCTACCTGTATGTAAGAATTTTTTTCTAAAAACTCTGGCAATCTCGAAAAGATGATGAGGACTTCCTTATCTAAGCTTTCAGTATGGTACCGTTGAAAAAGAAAAGAGAGGAGGAAGAAGAAGGTGTTTACAAGAAAGAGATCAGGCAATCAATTCTGATATGAGGGCGCATATTTTAAGATTTCCCAAAGTGGAATCACACTATTTCAGAGAAAAATCGTCACGGCAATACCACCACTCAGAACTTAATTTGGTTAAGATGTACGAAATGTATAAGCAATAAATAACAGAACAAAAAAGGACAACAACAATATAGGAAGTTTGGCTACTTACAGAAGAATATTTGATAGTATGAATCTATCATTTCATAATCCAAAAAAAGACCTTTGCACTTTATGCGCAAGGATACATGAAACTGCCGACAGTTTAGTCGATGAAATATTGAAGAAAGACTACGAGTCGCATATCGCAAACAAAAACAAAGTTCGTGAAATAAAGAGAAACCTTAAAGAGATGGCTATAAAGAACTCAAAACGTTTATGTGCGGTATTTGATTTGCAGCAGGTAATTCATCTACCCATTAGTAAAGAAAGTACGCTTTTCTACAAACAACGATTAAGCGTATACAATTTTACAATGTATAATATCGCAAACAGAGATTGCCAATGTTACACATGGCATGACGGTCAGAGCAAGAGAGGCTCACCAGAGATTTCAACATGCCTTTTCAAGTTTTTAGAAATTTACGATAAAGAAGGTGTAAAAACTGTACATTTCTTTTCTGACGGGTGCTATGGCCAAAACAAAAATTCAGTCACACCTTCAATGTATCTTTATTTTTTGTCGAAAAGCAAAAATATTGAAGTCATAACTCACTATTTCTTTGAGAAGAACCATGGCCAAAGTGAGGGTGACTCAGCTCACAGTGCCATTTCAACATCAGTGAAAAAGGTAGGGGATGTCTTCATTCCTAGCCAACTTGTACCTGTTTTTAGACAGGCTAGAAAGAAACACCCTTACATAGTAAACGAGATACAGTGTGAGGACTTTTGGGATTTTAAAATGTCTCAAGACCTAAGAGTTTTGTCCATTAAAAAAGATGATCATGGAGAACCATTTAAGTGGTCAGAAGTAAGCCAAATAAAAGTGGAAAAACATAATCTAGAAGCAATTTTATTTAAAACAAATCATCATCAGGACTCCTTCAGACGTATTTCCCTACAGAGAAATGCTAATGCAAGCAATATTAATCTTAAACCATTAAATATAAGTGAACTAAAAATTCCTGAGAAGAAATACGATTCGTTGATATCTCTGTGTGAAGGAAAGAAGCCTATTATTAGGCAAGACATTTACAAAAAAATTTTATTATAATCTAAACCATTAAGTATACCTAATAATGAATGTTTTTTATTTTTATTTTTAGTTATTAAATCAGTGTTTTGTAAGAAATGATCTATTTCCTTTTATGAAAATATACAACCTATGTTATATTGAAATTTTCTCTTTACATGGTAAGGACGTATATTATTTCATCAACAAAAAAATACAAAGAGGCGTATATGTTTTTTTCTAATTTTTGAAACCAACTAGGATGATTATTCCAAAAATCCATGGTATTACTATACAATGGGCCAAAAGTAATCCATAATTGAAGAAATGGAAGAGAAATTTTTCGTATCGTTTGAGATATGTCTACCGGAAACTTTGAAAAAACCTTAACCGGTCTCCTGCAAAAAAAATTTTGATATACGCCACTTTGTTAAAACAGGGACGATATGTGTCCTATATGTGAAGATGATAATTAGATATTTGAATTATTTTTGTGTTAGTATTATTTTGTATACTTTTATTGTGTTTTTGTTGCACTTGTAACGGTTTCACCGTCCGATTGTATTTATTAAATCACTTCTCGATTTTCATTTCAGAATCGCAAGTCATTAATCCCATCTCTAGCTTTTTTACTTGGAAAAATTTCCGCTTGATGCTGGCAATAACATCCACATGTTGAGTTCCTGATCTGTGACCTTCCTTGCGGTTTCTTTTCACTTCAGCCACCGATGTAACAACAACTGACAATTTTGTTCTCTATAGCATGAAATCATATAGCGCCATGTGCTAGCATTTTATAAAATGTGTGTCTGAATAGGATAAAATGGTGAGTTTTATAATACTATACAGTTTTATTGCTGGATCTGCCTGTAGCTCATAGATAATCGATATGTAAGTGGTTTATTTCTTGTACGATTTTAAAATATCCATCGAACGTCATTTTCGACTACTTCGATCATTCGCCATAACTTTAATCAAATCGAGGTAGAAATCGATCCACAACGATTTTACCTCTGTGTGCGTATATATATATATTCATAGTTCAGTGAAATTATGAGTACGTTGATTATGAAAATTCGATATTTTTGTTTTTATATCAGAAGCATGTGGAGAAATTTTTGATGACCACCATCTTGTTTTACGCTTTTTTGCTATTTCATGATATTATTTTATGAAAGGCAATTTTCGGTTTGATTTTATCAAACTATGTAATGTAATTCTAATCTAGAAAATCGTTGGTTCTCTTCTGAGGCAGACTGAGATTGGAAATGCCTTGCCTATGGGGCACGTTGCTAATGCACACGGTTCTCTTTCAGATTAGGGCCACCCCCTTTGTCTTTGACTTTGCCTTCATCCATATTGCCTACCTATTGCTTGGCCTATCACTTTGCCGTGCCTTCACCCATGCATGTGCCTTGGCTGCGCCATCACTTACAGCTTCATCCTTGATGAAGATCACCTTTAAGCTCAACTTCACTGCATCCTTCGCCTACATCTAGTTTTGAAGCCACTAAATATGAGGTCACCCCTCATAACTGGGACCTCCACTTGAAGCCCTTGGCCATCCTCGCTTCAGTCCAGTCAAAATGGACCAGCTTAACGAAAGATAAGTGGATAATTTTGTAACAGCGCCAAAGATTTAAATCTTTTATTTTGTTCTTTAAAATTTCAACAATGTTAATTCTCAAATGTAATGAAAATGCTTTTCTAGTTTAATAAAATCTGTTAAATCTTTGTGTTCTATTTGTTCTTCTATCCTCTAGCCATGCCATGGTCGACACACAGCTACACGCCTGTAGATGTCTTCATGCCACCGACTGAGCTACCGGAAGCTAATGGTAACCCACTTTCTGTGATTGTGCAGAAAAGTTGGAATCTTCATTGCATTCCATCTTTTCTGGACTTTTTGCGGAAAGGAAGGTTTACATAAATTGGCGCCCAACGTGGGGCACGATTGGTGTTTGGCTTTGTCGACAAGTGGTTTGCTAGTGGAAGATTGGCAGACAGAACATAGTTTTCAAAATACTTTACAATTTTTGGCAGCATTTCTATTTTTAATTGCTTTTGGTACTCAAATTTCTAATTATTTAATCATCCTTATTTTTTGCTTAATGTTTAAAATTTTTATCAAAAGATTAAAATTTTTCCACCTGTTTATTTCATAGGCGTACTATGCTCTATTAACTTTTAAATTGCCTTGTTTAGTAGTCATCGAGATCATTGCCAGAATTTTTTTCTCACATACTACTATAGTTTTTATTTACTGCTGGGAACAGTTATAACTTTTTTCTCATTGTAGTTTTGAGATCGATGATATTTTGATAATGTTTTGTTGAATATTGATAGTCTGGGGACTTTAGGTTTCCCAGCATTTTGTCGAATATCATCAAACTTTTGATTGAGGTTGTGACTATTGTTGTTGATAGTTTATATATTCTTATATGCTTTTGATTTTTTATCACTAACCTCTTAGTTTTTGAAAGTATTTCTTCATGTGCAGTTTTTTTGATTTCTTGAGACTTTTCATGTATGCATAGATAGCCTAATTGTTGGATCTCTGGTGTACTGATATAGCCCTCATGATGTTTGGTACGTAGGAAATTTGCTTTCAAAATTATTTTTGCCTTCCCCAAATGTTTTTACTTTTTGGATTTTTGACTGTACTTGAACTTTTGATCATTTGTTTTCATTCTGATGGCAATAATCTACTGACTAGAGTTATCTGGAGTAAATCATTTTGCGATTTATCGATTTGTCTGAATTGTATGAAATTGATATTCATAATTTTTCGTATATTTTGGCGGTTTATTTTTTTTCAAGTATTGACATTTGGACATAGTGCGTTGATACTTAACTTTCTTTTTATTTTTCAAGAAACAAATGATATTTCTCTTGACTATATTTTTGCTACTTTTCAATGGGGGGGTGACTCCTAAATCATTTTTACCTATACAAAGACACACATACTCATTTATGATAATTAAATTTCAACTTGTTATTGAAATAGTATACGTTCCTCAGTAACTATTGTAGTAATTTTGTCTCTTGTTTGGAGCATAAGTTTTCATAATTTTAATGTTTTATAGTTTTATCTGGCATATTCTCTGGGGGAAATTAGAACATTAGTGTCTGATTTTCCATTGGATTTACAGGACTTGAACGTCTCTGTACTTTTTTAATGTATGTCAGATATAAAATATTTTTTTTAAGATTTGGTTGCTCCTGTTTTTGTGTTGAAACTTTTTGTTTGTATTGTTAGTTTTTTATAGTGTTTTGGATCCTTGTCATTTATTGACGTATTCAGGTTTTTAACTTCAATTTTTTTCATTTAAGTGTTTCTTTGAGGTTTATTTCTCAATCATGGTTCAGCCTAGACTAAGCCCAAATGACTTATTAAGCCATGAACTCCACTACGAGATTCATATCAGAGGTTTGGAAGTCCCTAATACCGTGGAGGATAAACGCAAAGTTTTACGTGGCTTATTAGCACAAAAATTTCAGTTTCTCAGAACCTTCTGTGACTATTCCTTTTGATGAGGATGACACTGAGATAAAACTCTCATTCAATAAACTCACTGAGATGATCTCTATATTTACTGGTGCATTTGATTCTGTTGAACATCGCAGAATTTGTGTGCGCTTATTGCATCTATCTGGTAGGATAGATCGAATGTCTCCTACTTGTGATGAGGAGATAAGTACAAAATCTAGATTAAAGACACAACTTGTGTGTGAATTTGATCTTTTAGAGAAGCTTCAGATGCCATCTGCTCAATCATCTCCTCCATCAG